ATTCTTTTCAGACTGATGTCTTATCCTTTTTAGTGCCCCAAACTAGGTTCTGTCAGATACAACAAGTGGTATAGTTTATTTTGGTGCAAAAATAAATAAATAAATAAAGTCCAGGGGGCTAGCCAATGGCATAATAGTTACATTGCTAGACTCCCACTTAGCTGACTGTGGTTTGAGTCCTGGACCCAGCGGCTTAAAGAACTCATGCCAAGCATGTTTGCATACATGCCCAAGATCCTGTGAGGAGAAGAGAAGGGACTGCAGTGTGGCCATTCCCCCGGGGATGATTTCTTGCTTTCTGTCTCTCTAGTGAGCATATGCACCCTATAGCAAAAATCTCTCTAAAAAAAAAGTCTGTGCAGAGTTTTTCTGTAATATGCATTTTCCATGGAATTTTGAAGACCTCTCATATATCCAGCTTGGAATTCAGTCCATCAGAAAAATATGAGGATGGATGAGGCATAATGGGAAAAAGAACATGAAAAGATTTAATAAAAAAATTTATTGAGGATAATAGTACAAGAGAGTAGCAGTAAAATAATAATATCTATAACATTACAATTAATGTTTTGATATCTTAAAATTGTGGAATAATAATTACCATAAATAGAAAAACCAGTGTATCTACTTTTTTAAAAAATATATATTTTTTACTTAACTTTATTGGTTTATTTATTTATTTATTTATTTTAATTTGACCAGAGGGTGACAGTGAGAGAGAGGGAGGAAAGTGAGAAAGCCAGTCACCAGGTCCAGGATTTGAACCACAGTTGACCATGTGGGAGGTCAGAGCCCTTAACCACCATACAACCTGCCAGCCCCATATCTACTTTTTTAGTCAGTGTTTTATTTTTACTGTTAGAATCTTTTTATCTAGGTAAACTTACATATCATTAAATTCACAAATCTTGAGTGTACAAATGTACAATTCAATGAGTTTTACCAAATGTATAGACTTGTATTTCAAGCACCTAATCAAGAAATAGAACCACAGATCTAATACGTTGGTCATATTCTTTCTCGGCTCCCCTTGTAAAACTATTTCAATAAGCCCAAAATGCTTTTGGTCTTCCTATAGCTACAATAAAATCCACAAAACCCCCAATGTTTTGGGGACTATTAAGGATGGTAACTGTGGGAGCTAAGTTGGTTGATCCAATACTCTTCTGGAAAGCCTAGGCCCTAATTGCGAAAAGTCCTGAGGCAGCTATTGTTTAGAGTTCTCTAACGTACATTCCATAATTAGCACTAGTAGTACATGACTATATGTTAGGTGAAAATTCCAATAACATAATTAACCACTTTAAATGTTATAGAATTATCTCCTTTTACTGACCTTTTGTTTCTGGTTGTCCAAATACCTATAGTGCATTTTAAATATTTCAGTGACAGTTTCTGCTAGTAATTCATAATAATAATAGCAGATTATTTATGTCCCATATTTTATCCTGAAAGAACCCTTAGTTAGGATTTTCTAGACTGTTTATAAGAGGTAAAAATCAATAACACGGGCATCTTTCTCATAGCATACTCTTTAAGCAAAGTGACAAAGCAGGCTACAATTTGTGAGCAATACTGAAGGAGAATGGCATATCTACTTGAAACCATAGAGAGAACATTAATTTTTTAGGCATAAGAATCAATACCCAAATTTTAGTTTTACTAATGTACAAGGTTTTACAAAACTCCATTGGGCTGATCATAGAAAAAATCTTAGAAGATGACATTTTTGTTGCTGTTTAGTTGTGGTGGTTAATATTTTTAAGGAGTCAGTAAATACTAGAAGCAGTTGTAAATTATTATAGAAAGGTCGTGACATCTATTTTCGTACATTTTGTTTGTATCCTAAATTCCTTACCTTTTCTAGCCAAATCTATTTCTCTTCCTTTCTTTCTCCCTTTTTCTAAAGGACCTGATAGGTACACTCATCCCTAATGAGTAGAAAGAGTGCCTTGTAGGTCAGTCCTCTGCCAAATCCTGGTTTCCTTCACTCTTTCTGTTGTGAGTGACCAGTGAGTAGGCCAAGTCCTTTAAAGTTGGAAAGATGGCAGAATGGAAATTCTTCGATGGATTTTAGGATCACTTAAGCATTGTCAGAGATTAAAAGTTAGAGGAGTGGGACCAGCAGGTGGCGTGGTGGTTAAGGTGCTGGACACTCCCACATGGCCGACCGGGGTTTGAGTCCTGGACCTGGTGACTTGCTTTCTCACTTCTCTCTCTCACTCTCACCCTCTGTCTCTCTCTGGTCAAATTAAAAATCAATGAATGAATAAATAAATAATAAAATAAATAGTTATTTTTAAAAAAAGTTAGAGGACTTTGGGAAAATTTTGAAAGGAAAAAAACATAAGGAACTAAGGTTTTATTTGTGTATACAAGTAGGGCAGATATATTAAAATGCATTATTTACCAAATAATATTTAGTGAGATATTAGAGAAAGCAGATTTTCAGTTTTCTTTCTATGTATAGTAGTTGTAAACAGTTTTTCTTTTAACCAATACAGATAACCAAAGAGAGGGAGAGAAGCTTCCGTATTTCTGAAGAAAAGCAAAAAAAGATATATGTATTAGTGCACACAATCACACACAAAGAGTTATTTTCTGAAAGCTAGAAAATTGCTTTCAAAGAAAAATGTATGATCTACAGTTACAATGTTTAGACATTTGGCAATTGGATAAAATAATTTTTTGGTGAAAATAGGAAAACAGATTGACATAAATGTACATTAGGGTAGTGACTTTCATTTCTTGTACATACACAGTGAAATAGTTTTGGGCAATAAATTCTTGGAAAAGTAGAGTAGGGATTGGATAAATGTCATGGTTTATAACTGAATCCATATAAACAGGTGAAAACTCAAGATAGAGAGGTAGCGCTAACCACCTGATAAAGAGACTCAAAGCCCTTTCACCTACCAAAAAACAATTGCTTTAGAGTTGTTATGGGATATTACAGTTTGATCTTTTAAAAAAAGGTGTTGGCTACATTTGTGGCTACTGTGGATATATAAAATAAGAATGGAATGCCTTTTGTTCCCTTATACAAAGAAATATTTATTATTTAAAATCTTAACTGTAAAAAAATATTTTTTATGTTGTACATTGTGGAACTAATACTAAGAATATTGAAAAAGGTGAAACAGCCACTATTTCTGCCTTGGATGGCTTAAAAATATAAAGGCTAATTGACTATGCAGAATTCTGTAACTATTTCAGGTCAGTTACCAAGCTAAAGTTTAGTTCTACAATGTTGAGAACAGACCTCCACATTCTCCCCCAAATTTATTCTATGCTGTCTGGTCCATGTTTCAAGTTCAGGTTTTCATGTTTCCCCCCTCCTTCCCCTTATCTAAGCCTCAGCCTTCCTTCACACAGAAACCCTTCAGTGACAGATTACTGCAACCCATTTCTGTAGCACATTTACTAAGACCTCTCCATTACTGTTTGACTTTTGGTAGGATGTTCCTTGAGGCCAGAACAACTCATCTTATTTCTTTGTTAGCAATGCTGGGTGATCAGTAAGCATTATGGAAAGCAAGTTTTAGGGGAATTCAAGAGAGCAAACAATTAATAGTGTGATAATGGGTGTTTGGAGAAAGTAGATCATGAATGGGAAACTAAACTAAAGAGATTCAGGTCTTGGGGAAGATGAGAAAGAGAACATTCCAAGCTGAAATCACAGAATGACCTAAAGTTCCAGTGTGCATAGCCGTATTAACTGAAACTATACATACTATTACATTATTAGAATATTAGATATTAGATGAATGAACTAATGAACAAATTCATATATAATGAGTTGAGTGGTATGACCAAGTCTCCTAGACAGTTCCTTTTTTTTTTGGAGAGGTTTTCGCTATAGGGCGTGTGCGCTCGCCAGACAGACAGAGACATAGAGACAGAAAGCGAGAAATCACCCCCCAGGGGGGATGGTCACGCCGCAATCCCCTCTCCTCCATTCTCCTCTCGGGATCTTGGGCACACATGCGCCCGGCGTGAGATTCAAGCCACCGGGTTCGAGACGCGAACCGCGGTCGACTACGTGGGAGTCCAGCGACACAGCCATTACGCTAACTGCTGATTCCCGACAGTTCCTTTTTAAGTCATTCACTTCTCACACAACTTTTAGTTCTTTGGGATACAAAGATGAAGGTACCATTTTTTAAAAAGAATTATTGCTTTAATTTTATTTATTCATTCATTTTATTTTAATTTGACCAGAGAGAGACACAGAAAGAGAGAGAGGGAAAGTGAGAAAGCAAGCCACCAGGTCCAGGACTCAAACTGTGGTTGACCATGTGGGAGTGTCCAGCACCTTACCCACCATGCCACTTGCTGGCCCCAAAGATATGATACTTATTTTCAGAAGCAAATTTTAATGGGGCAGACAGAAATGCAAAAAATTATATAATATGTTACCTGCATTTAGAAGAATGTACAATGATTCTGGGAACATAAAGGAGGAGGCTTCAGAGAGGAATTATGTAGGACAGGACAAATTTTCAAAGGCCTTAAATGCTCGACTCTATTGTTTGGACATTATGTTATCATTAAGGCAACATACTATGTCAGAGCATTTTTCGAAGGTTTGAAACAACACCGATCCTTTCTAGGATTTCTTGTGGGTCTTAGTAATAGGCTCCTCTGAGAGATTTCCAGCCCTAGCTCTATAATTACACTTAACGTTCAGCGGAAAGAAGTCAGAATGTGGCTGGAAGAGTTGGCAATAATCTCTAACCTGTTTGGAAATACTATCTCAGAAGGTAGTAATCCTTTAACATTAAATATCAAAATTGAGGTGCCCTAATTATTGTAGAGGCCCAAAATATCTACTTAATTTGAAGAATAATATTCACCGTGAAAGTACTCATTAAATATACTTGAAATCTGAAAGAACAAAGAAATGATTCTTAATTTGAATTTCATCGAGTTTTTAAAGGAATTTTCAAAACTCTCCAACTAAACACAAGTATTTCTCTCTCCAACTTACTTATTTCTAGTCATTTGATCCTTCAAAAACCACAAGGAAGAAAAAAAGTATTACAACTTACTCGCCAACGACTGGAACTTGTCAAATAAGCCCATTTACTTCTCCCACCAGCTCTGAAGAGCAAGAGCACAGAAATGGACCATCAAATGGTAGTTAAACATTCTTTCCCACTTACATTAAGATTTTTCTAGTTATTGATTAAATCAAGATTTTAATTTAACAATATATGGATCTTACTGTAGCCGACTTTTCTGTCCTATCAAAGAATTTAACATAGGCTAGAATGTAGATATTAGTTTGGACATAAATGTAAACTTTCTAGGCTCTTATTTTAAAATGCTACTGCAGACTTTCTTCCCTTTCTAGCCCATCCATTAAATAGAAATTATGGCCTGACTGCCTTCAGCTACTATCAATTATAATGGTTATAGATACGCCCCTTAACAAGCTATCCATCATGTGCATAAATTAAAGGGCACATAACTCAGGTACTGCTGCACTACAGCTTAAGAGTGATACTTCTAAATGTTATTTTATCCCTGTTGTCCATTTAGTTTTATCCACACTTAGTGTATCTTTATGTAGCTTACCTTTACTTATTATATTTCATTCCCTTCTTTTTCTTTACTATTTTAAATACATTTGCGAAAGATTTGTAAAATTTTCTATAGAGAAAAACATAATTTTAATATGCAGTCCTTTATTTTAAAATATTAATTTTGACCATACATATTTGTTGTTCTCTAAACAACAGTGATTTCTTGCTAAAATATTTGTTTTAAAATGCAAATTTCAATCTTACAAGTTTAATTTTTTATATTGAGAAAGGTCATGAATCAGTGACATGTCAGTTTCTATAATATAAAATTTTAAATTAGTTCAAATTTAATACAGAGTATTTTAGATATGTTATGATTTGCCTGATTCATATTTTATTGTTTAACACTTTTTGAGTGCTAACCATAGAAGCTAGAAGTGTGGAGAAGCTACACAGAAACAAAGAAGTATCCTCATTTTACCTGATCTGTTACAGTGAAATACATGAGATCTTAAACTCTTGAATGTCTTTGATTTTGCTTTAATCAAATGCTTTTTATCTTAAAGCTTAAAGTGTTAGATTTGCTTTTTTGCAAAAATGTATGAAGATGTGTACATTTTCTTCAAGTTCCACAATTCTGTTTTTAAATACCTAATATTTCTTTTTTAAATTAGGAATTAATACCTTAAAAATCACACATCTCTATACTGTAATGTGAGTAGATTTTAAGTTGATACGTACTCAATTTACATATTGAAATTAAATGTGGACTTAAGGGAACATTCCTTTTTTATGGAACATTCCATAAAAAGATTGGTCATATGATTTCAGTTGACATTTAAGTGGATAATTATTACAGATTATGGTACTAAGTAAGCTCTTTTTAAAAAAAAAAAAAGATAGCAAGGGTTCTTGAGGTGCTGACAGTATTCTATTTCTTGACTACATGGAGGTTCCCCTAATTTATTCTAGTTATTCATTAAACTGTACATATATGTTTTATGTACTCTGAATATGTATGTCTTATACATAGACATCTTAAAATAGTAGAACTTTGTCTAGAAGCCTTTGTCAGTTTATATTATTTGTAATAATTACATTACTCATTCTAATGTATCATCTTGTTTGTGCTTTAAATATAAGAAAGCCTGATACTTAGGAAATATCTTAAATTCTAAATAAGTAAGAAAATGTGACTTAGGAAATCATTTAAGTTCTAAATGATTTGACACTCTCTATTGAAAATTCCCACTTTTTATATGTTGTAAAAAACATAATGTAGAATTTGAATAACATTTACAAGGATATTTTAGTGCTAATCATTTCCCAACACACTTACGATAAAATCCAAAATCTCCTTTTTTTTTTTAAGTTTTTATTTATTTATCGGTTGTAATTTTGGGGCCACCAGGTCTGAGAGTTGAACCGTGATCAGCCATGTGGGAGTCCAGCACCGCAATCACCACACCACCTGCCAGCTCCTGTGTCATGATTTTTAAGGCCATACATCCACCTAATACCTGGCCATCTCATCTGCCTCTTTTTTTACTACTCTTCCCATGTTTGCACTTTAGCCATTCCAACCTTCTTGCTATTTGTCAATCACTCAGAGCCCCTTCCTGCTACCGGGTCATTGCACTTGCAGTTCTCTTCACCAGAATACTCTTCCTCCAGATACCTTATCTGTACTTTTTGTGTGCATTTGAACCACATACTATCTGAACAGAAGACCGAATATTGGATTTAAATTCATTTGTTTTTATAAAAATAAAAAAATTCTGGTTCTGTATCTTCTCTTTACTTAGACTTCCCAGTTTCCAAAAATGGAATGATTTATTTCAACTCTTCAGCTTACACATTTAAAAGACAAACATATATATATGTATGTATGTGTGTGTATATATATGTATGTATGTATTATATGTGTGTATGATATATTTTATATATATGTATAATATATATTTATATATGTGTGCTTCATTATATTGTTGGCCTCCACTAACCCTTAGCAAATTTCATCAAACTACTATGCATTTCATACTTACCCATAACCAAAAGCCATAACTGTGCATTTTAGAAAAGAGGAATGATGGTCAGCTTTTCTCCTTTGCTCCCAGAAACACTTAGACTTGTTATTTAACAATGAGGGTAGAAAGGGACCAGCAGGTGCTGTAATGGTTATCACTGGACTCCTATGTACCTAACCGCAGTTCAAGTCCCAGACCTGGCTGCTTAAAACTCAGGCTAAGCACATGTGTATACATGCTCAGAATTCCAAGAGGAGAAGGGTGTGGCATGGTCATCTTCACCGGGGAGGGAGGGGATTTCTCGCTTTCTCTCTCTCTCTTATTCCCGGTCTGCCATGTATTCCAGGAAGGCCATGTACAAGAGGAAATACTCGGCCACTAAATCCAGGATCGAAAAGAAAAAGAAGGAGAAGGTTCTTGCGACTGTCACAAAACCGGTTGGTGGAGACAAGAATGGTGGTACCCGGGTGGTTAAACTGCGCAAAATGCCTAGGTATTATCCTACTGAAGATGTGCCTCGAAAGCTGTTGAGCCACGGCAAAAACCCCTTCAGTCAGCATGTGAGAAAGCTGCGAGC